TAGGGGATGTAGCGGGTTTTGTATTTGGGGTCTGATTTTTGTAAGCCACTCAGTCACCTTGTGTGAGTTAGGCGGCACTATAAATTAAATAAATAAATGACTGACTGACTGACTGACTGACAGACGACCTCAGGCATCCGTGTTGATAGCTGCTGTTTTAATCCTGTATGCCTGCCAGAGTCACTGGTGTGAGATGGGTGGTCATATTTTTATATCTATAATGAAAATATGTTATGGGTGGGCATCTTCACCTTGGCAGGTGTGGTCAATCACAAAACACTCACTTACCAGAGGCAAGTAAAGCTCTGGGCTCTAATCTCCCACCATTTTATTTTCTAAAACTGTTTTGAGGGTCTCTGAGGGGCACAGAGGCATTGTTGGAACTGTAAGTTTTGCTTGATGTTGTTTTATTTTGCATAATGTAGATTTCCCATTTTTTGAAAAATGAAAGAAAGTTGAGTACCAAGAACATGTCAGGGGATACATGATGGCTGAAGAGTCAAGGCTTTATTGTATATTGATTGCACTGCCTATATTGCCATTGTTTACCACCTAGACTTTATTTATGTATTCAGGTTTTTTTTTCTTGCCTGCCACAATTAAGAGCCTTTTGGTGGGTTACAATCATAAGAATAAAACGTCCACAGTACAATTACAGTTATATAACAATAAAAATAAAACACAAAACATAAAATTAAAAAGCAATAGCGTTAGATGAGTTCTTGAGATTGTTATTCTCATTTCTCTCTGAATATTGTCTTAGCCCATGCCTTCCTTTTTCACTTGTGTTAGACTATTTCATCACTCACATTTTCTTTACCCAATTATTACCATTTTTTCTGATGGCCTAGTATTTCATACAAAGATGTCAAAACTGTTTAATAGAAATGGGAATAAAACTATTCCCACCTTTTCTCCTCTGTATAAGTAAAAACTCAGTACAGCATTCTGGGCCCCATTCCAATCTAGCCTACTATCTTCTGCTGTCAGTTCAAATTTTCCAACAATTCTAATACAGGTTTATTTCTAGCATGACATCTGGAGCAAGATATTTCAAGGGGTGAACTCACCATTAAGAATATGTAATACTGAGGGACCCTTTCTACTTCCAGTTTTACTTCTATAATGTGTATCTTTCAGTAGGCAAGCCACATTTTTTGTGCACGAAGAGCAACGACTGGAAGTTCTAGGCCTGCAGGTAGTCATTACTTTGCACTCTCCCTTACTACTGGAGTGGTAACTTGAGTCCCAAAGTATGTTCTTTTAATTCCAACTTTAAAATGGCATTCAAACTAAATGTCTAAATCCTCACTTGTTTAAGATTTTCAGTATTAACCCCAAACAAACTTTTTTTTTTATATATATTGATGCATATATGAGTTTCAGGTTAATTTTTACTTCAATGTATTTAGGATACTAAATACTACATTTTGGTAAATAGGACATCCACAATTAATTTGCCAAACTATTTTATTTATTTGCTATTTTATAGTATTCAGCAACATTTATTCCCAAACATTCCATCTGTGTTTGAGGTTAGTATTATCGAAATAGTTGTGCACTGAAAAAATGATTTTTCTCATAAATTCACAGATATCCTGTATCTACCCAGTGATAATGGCTTCACAGTCCCTCAGATCTAGTTATGGTATAAAAACTCTGGAAAAAAGAAACTGAGACTTATGAGGAAGAGGTCTACAATTTGGAAAAATGGTATCTTGTTTGTGATAGTGTGTCAGGCAGAAATCTCTCCTAACACTTCCCTGAGATATCATAGTATGAACATGGACCTTTGGCATAGAAAGCATGTGCCCCGACCAATGACTATTCCTTAAAGGGGGACTCCAGACAAGTAGTTCACTACACCTGAAGGCCTGGATTCACATGGGGATTTCTTGACAAAAGCTGATGCAAAGAGTGCACTGGCCCAGCAAAACCTCTATGGGCATTTGATATAGCAAAAACATTTAATCAGTAGATGAGTATTTACAAGGGCATGAACATCTGATGTGATGAGACAAACTGGTATGAGAACAGCAGGAGCAGTAAAGGAGAACAAAAAATCAATAGAGTTGCAATTGCTTCATTCTAAATATGGCTATAGTTACATGACATTTTGATGAAATGTTAAAAACTCACCAATTAATATTCACAATTTGCTACCGAACTACAGTGGTTTTCTGACATGTACACAGTATTCGGTGACAGCATATGGAGTGATTTGCATTCTCAGTATATTGATTTTACAGAAAATAGTCTAAAAGTTGGAATAAGATATCTAGGTTCCCTCAAGATCACTGGCTCCCCCACTGTGGGCCATGGACACCTTGTGGGGCTATGTAGTTAATGCCAGGAGTATACAATCATTGCTCAGAATGAAGTGTGAGAGAGAGAAATATAAGACTGGACTAGAAGAGAGACTTAAAGGAACATCACCAGACTATACTCCCTTGAACTGTGCATGTGTGCAGTGGCACACAGCTGATGACCCTGTAGCACAGACCCGATGCAGAGGTGGCCACCAGCCACCAGGAACAATACATGAGGTGATCACCTCCCTCCCTGCAAAGTGTGATTAATAAGCCACTGTGTCCCACTCAGCCTGGCTCTGCTATCTGAGCAGCTACTGCTGGCTCACTACCAGCCTGGCTGTTGGGCTACAAAGTTGTCAGTATTTTCTGCCTTCTTCTCCGTGTGGTGGGGTAATCATTATATGGAACTAAGAATTCAGTCCTGGAGTCCTGAGACAAACAATTCCTCTGTTTCTTTTTCCTTCTCCTGAATTGGCTTCAGTTTTGATATTTCTTTGCTCCCAGATCTGACTTCAAAAGAACAAGCAGCTTAATAGAACTTTCATGTGACAATCCATAAAACCAATTTTCACAGAAAAGCTCTTAGCTGATTTCTGGCTACATTTTTGTTTGCACTATCTGCTAAAGCTGTAAACTACCTGAGGCTTTTCCCCACAAGACATGTATGTAAAAGCAGAATTTCTACACTTGTGGCACTGGAATTCTAACACCAAAACAAACTGAGTATGGAACCATATGTATCTCACGCCTTGTTGTGCTGCCTTATCATGGCAGGGAGATGTTCTTGGGAGGACGAAGTGTATGCCTAGAGTATATAATCCGAGGCATCATCCAAGACATGAAGCTTACCTCAACTGCCCAGCTAAAACAAGCAGGCACCTATATCGGGCAGCAATGAAGATGCTAGAGGTGCCTGATCATTTTAGTTACAACAGCAAATACATCATTTCATGCTGTGACAGGAGAAGGCAATGGTAAAATACTCCTTTCCTGAGAAAACCACATGGATAGGCAATATAAAGTGATTGATAGTGTGGATGATGAGCCCCTCAGGTAGGATAGCATTCAACATTCTACTAAAGTTGAGCTGAGGATTTTCAGAGTAGTAACGGTGTTTATGATGTGGTTATATTGAAGACTTCGGGAAGTCTAATTGCTGGCGCTATTATACAGGAAAAGAAAAAAGAAAAGCTGCAAAGACAGAATTATAGAGGGGATTTGGAATGTAAGAATTATGAATGAGGGAAAGCTCAGCACAATGAAAGATGACATGAATTGTCTATACACTGACATCTTAGGCCGCACTGAATTGAAATGGACTGGAATTGGACACTTTCAGTCAAAAGATCATACTATTTACTACTCAAGACAAAAAAACAAAGGGATGGTGTTACTTTCATAGCAAGGAAGGATACAGCAAGGACAGCACTTGGTACAATGCAATCAATGACCAAATAATATCAATTAAGCTTAATTGACGATCAAATAATATCAATTAAATGCTTATGTATTAAAGTTTACTAGGATATTAGGAATAATTTAAACATTATTTCAAAGATGTATCTTGCCGTAGGTTGCCCATTCCTAGTTTAAAAATACATCCATAATCTAGCAGAGTCAAAGAAGATGTACTTACTGGCACATTCACTTTTCTGAACATCTCAGCTCCTTTATGGGCATCTAATAAAGCTAGATCCTGTGGAGTAGACACAATTACAGCCCCTAGAAAGAAAGACACCCCTGTAAAAATCAGTATTAGTTTCATTCGGGTACTACAATTCCTAGAAGAATCTGCAACAGGTTCAGAATATAGATCTCTAATTAAAGATCAATGGTGGTTTTGCTTTACAAAAAAATGCTTCCATGCATGCATATCAGAGTATCTGATTATCACCAATTTCCCTGGCTCCTGCAGCCCTTAATGCCATTTGCTGTAAGAATCTACCCAGTTCTAAAGAGAGTCTTTCCAGAAGGGGGACTTTAGCAGGCAAAAGTGGAATGTGAAAAAGTCAGCACTCCAACTTGCAAGAATAAAACTGCTTTCAATTACTATATATTCCCACCTTTAATAATATTAAAATTTAATAATAATAATTATTATTAAAATAATCCAAACAGAAATGAGTAATAATGTCCAAAATAAAATATAAAAAATATTCAAGTAGCAATTAGTGACTAGGGGGAAAAAAAGGGTGCTGGAGAAAGAAAGAGAAGGGGGCTACCAGAATGCCCTCTTTATATATTTTTTATTTTTTGTCTGTTTTGCTTTTTAATTTTTTTTCTCAAATTCCCTTGTATGTGTACATATACAGGTGCTCCTTGCTTAATGACCATTTATTCAGCGACCATTCATTGCAACAGTACCATTCATTGCAACAGTACTTACAACTGATCCTCAGAGTTCTGGCTGTTGCAAAATCCCTGCAGTTACATGATTGCAATCCATGCACTCGGTACCCGGCTCGCAATTACGATGTTCCAGCATCCCACAGTCACGGGGTCACCATTTGTGACCATTTGCAAGCAAAGTCAGTGGGGAAGCCGCCAGGAGATCGCAAATGGTGACCACATAATGTTGTTGCTTAATGACCCACAGTGATTTGCTTAACAATGGCAACTGGGAGTGCCAGAATTGCTGTCTCTAAGTGGCGTGGTCATGTGATGTTGCACTTCACAACCATGTCGCTTAGTGCCAGCAATTCCAGTCCCAATTGCCATTGTTAACCAAGAACTAGTTGTATGTTTCTTTCTGTTTTTGCCTTTTTTTGTTTTTGCTTGAACTCTTTATTTAACCAATAAAAAAGAAAAGACATTAAAAAAAAAAAGAAATTTCAATGATTTTTAGATCACATCATTTTCAGTAAGAAACAATATTTAAGAAATGACTATATTGCATTTATGTTGTTGAAAATGCAGTGATATTAACACTTTATTTAAATATATCATTTCATTTTGGAAGTGATTACATGTATTACATGGGAGTGGATTTTTGGACAGGGAAAATGAATGCATAATCAAAAGATTGTTCAGCACTGGAAACACAAATGTATGGCTCAAACTATTTAGTGGTTTGCAGAACTGATTAATATAGATCAACTTTAATTTTTTGTTATATGTATGTCTGCAAATATACATTTTGCATGTTTTTGTTTCCTTTTTTCAATTTTTTCTTCTTTTATAATTGTGTGTATTCTTTTTTTTCTTTTTTGTATTTAGTGAATTGAAAAAAATATTTTAAAAAAACATGTGGGAACCTCCATTATTTTATAGCAAAACACTTTACCCTGCCTGAATATTTCTGCCCTCCCATCCTCCAGTGATTCCCAACATATTTTTAGGTAAAAAATATTTTTCAAATATACAACAATTTCACTGAGGAACAAGAATCAAACTTTTCTTCCCAAAGCAGTGTAGCACTGGAGGATATGTGAATATGAAAGCATTTTGATCTTTAAAATGAGCAACTATAACTTGAGAAATTGCTCTGTGTATCTATATATCTTGTCTAGTCCATGTATGTCTTGTCTTGTCCATCACAGTCACATGGAAACCACGATGAGGAGGCAAGGAATACAGCAACACCCAAGTACCACCAAAGGATAAGACAGGTCCTGAAGAGCCAGCTCAATGGGAAGAACAAGATCCAAGCCATCAACATGTACACCCTGCCAGTCATCAGATACCCTGCTGGTATAGTGAGCTGGTCAAAGGAGGACATGGAGGCTGCTGATGTGAAGAAGCCCCAGAAGCTCCTCACAATGTATGGAGGCTTCCACCCCAAGTCCAACACCCAGAG